AAAATTAATCACAGAAAGTCACTATTACTTTACTTGGTCTCATTTTTCTAACCTTCAAATTATCTGAATGAAATAGACAAAAAATTAAAATTATGAAAAAAGCAGAATTCTCAAAGAGTTAATGGGAAATGATGATCGACTCCCTTCATTTCTGTCAGCTGTATAAAGGGAATGTGAACTCAGTTGTGTTTCCTCATTCACAGTACAAGTGAGATGATGAAATAATAAAGAATTTCAATCATGTACTAAATACCAGAGAGAGGTTTATAATTGCCTGCCATCTAATTTTTTCTTTTACGTGCTAGAAGCACTTCCTTTCTTTGCTCATGTTTATAAATTTTGCATATGTGCATTCTTTGCTTGTGTATTGACTTATAAACATTCCAAATTTAACAATCCAGGGTATGAGGGCTGTTAAAATATATGACCTATTCCAAGTCTTTTATTTCCATTTCATGTGTTTACCACTATTTTGTAGGTCTGACTTGGGAGAATACCTGAAGATGAATGTTGAAGACACACAAAAATCACATTATACCCTGAGTTACTTGGAATTTCCTCTGTGTTCTCCTAATGGACTTGTATTTGAGTTTACAGTAGTGTTATGATCATAAGAAGAAATATTTCAAAACACACTCAAGACTCTTTCCACAAGAAATACAAATTTGAACATCCTGTCTTGTGGCCATACATGTAAAAGGAAACCCAAACCACCACAAACAACAAATGGGCAGCAAAACTGAAGTCATGACATACAAAAAATCTGCAGAAAAGATTGGCAAAAATACAAATTCAACCAAATATTGTTTCTTATTTATATGTGAGAACTTTGAGACTTGCAGGAATGAAGTCAGCTGGGACTTTTTTATTTTTTAGGTAACAGATAACATGAATTGCCTTTAGCTGGGATGCATTTATTCGTTGTGACACCTAAAAACTCAACTTTGGTTTTGCTGAACAAATTTGAATTCGAGCCAGAGAAACATGTCCCCCCACTCAAAAAAAAACCCCAAAAACCAACAAAGTGACCCCTTCCTGTCTGTTAATAATTGTAATTATGATACTTCAGATGCTTTCCAAATGCCAGTGACACTACCTAGGAACTGTGGCCGTGACTGTAATGGCTGTTAATGAAAACAATCCACACAGTTATAACAATGGGTAACAATGAAAAATTTAGACACACCACACAAAGATCTTTAAGAAGAGAACGTTCACAGACGAGTCCAGGAAATGTGAAACATAGGAAGGTCTCCTAAAATTCTGTCTTCCTTCTATCACCTCTGATTTTATGGACTTCTAGACCAACACAACATTTCAAAACAAATTCTACTCCAGGAACAAGACTTCATGTGTTTTGCAGAGAAGGGGAGGATTTTCTATACACCTTGGACTGGTGTCCCATAGGAAACTTACTGCATATTCCCTTCATCTTAGCTTGTCAGAAAAAGCCGCACAGAGTGGATTGACTGATGCTCACAGCATACCTTTGATCTCAATGAAAATTTAGTCCTCATACTAAAAACTCTCCCATCCTTGAGCCAGTGAAAACAAGAGGAAAAGTAGACATAATTAAAAAGAAATGCCATAGGAACAAGTTAAAATCATGTCTCTAATCAAATATTTCCTATGGACATCAGGAAGCTATTAGGTGGTTTGGTGAAAGCTTAGGATGCTTCACAAAAGCCCTTTATCTCCAACTGTGCAAATGAGGTTAATGGACTCATTTTTACTCTGTGATTCACTTCCTCTGTTCTATTTCTTTGTTTTAGGCAGATAATTGGAAACAACAAAGAAACATCATTCTCTAGAGCTTAGTAGGAAAGGAAAGTTCACTTCTTTCCAAAAACACAAATTCAAAAGAAGAAATAGAAGGAAAATAAAACCAGTGGGCAGAAAATAAGTTATACAGAAGGGTAATAGGCAATTAGGACCCACCCTCCCACAATCTACACAATCTACAGAAATGCCTCATCTTACACAGCTTCCCCTTACTCTTTAGGCTTAAATAAAACATCACTACTGTCTGTCCTTTGGGAGGATCTCAGTATTCCTGGGAGATGGCACTGGAGAGGCACAAAGCAAGGGGAAAAAAAGATTTTAGCAGTACTGAACATAATATTCTCTGACAGAGAAATGAATAATACTCTTATAATTTACTTACTAGTAAATGTACTAAGTGCTTTTCTAGTTTCTCAAAACTAGAAAAGTTAGTTCTACAAGCAGAAGCCACAAAATACTCTGATTTCCACATCTCGTTTACTCAAATGTCCCTGCATGTGTTGTAAAATTTTGGCTGTGGTGGTCATTGACAAGCATTTTTGAGAAAATATTGTACTGCAGTGCTGAAATGCAACTTCTAAATCTTTTCTTCAGCAAAGACAATAACATTGCCTATAGTATACATTTGTTGTATTGACACCAGGAAACAGGAAAATAAAGAGGCTCACTTATTTTGGAAACAGAGAAAGGGAAAGTTTGGAGAACAAAACCCTTGCAAACATATAGTAGCTCCTTCAAAGATGAAGTAAGCCATCAAAGAGTATTCAGAGCATGCTAGAAATGCTGTACAACCTCTCCAAACACAAATTCAATGGACTGAGTTTTCTCAGTATTTTGAAAGGTCAAGAAATATAGCAGTGGGATTGCATGAATATCATAACAATGCTATCTTTAAATCTCATAATTTATATTTTGCATATGTTATATATGTTTGTATTTCATAACACAAAGGTTTAACAGTGTAAGTATCTGTAATTATCATATTAAATTATTTAGCAAAGAAATCTAGATTCAATTTCACAATGAAAACATCACCAAAGAACTGATAATTATTTCTGCTAGCCATCTACCATTGTGCAGATGGCTATTGCCCTTGGAATTCAAGAATCTATTACTTCGTAAACAACCATGTGTATTTGCAGCAAAGTGTTTGATGCTTTCTTATCTGTACTTATTCCTAAGAAAATTAATGAAAATATCTTTGATTAACACCTGGCCCAAATTTTTGTGGTTCCCCATAATCCTCCTTCTCTACATCCTCTTGCAAATGTTATTTGTTTAAAGCCATGACTTGGAGTGCTTCTAAAGACAAGTAAGGAGGCACATGTGCATTTGGAGGGAACAGAAAAAAAATACCTTTGCCTTATGAGATGCAGGTCATGAATATAAACATTAGGTTTCTAACATGCATCCAAAAGACTCTAAGTTGCAGTCTTTAATATATTATTTATATATACATAAATAAATAACATACATTTATATAGAAATATTCATGCGGGAACATAATATTATAAATGGGTTCTATAAGTTAAGCTTCCTCAGATTCACAGCTTCTGAGTTTATGTGAGTGAGGAAAGTGTTGAAAATGCAGATTTTGAAATAAACTTGGGTTTATTGAAGGTTAAGACACCACTGTTCTTTTGACATAACTTTAGAAGACCTTTCAGAGGACAAAAGATACTAAGGAAAAACAAACACCCCATAGTTTGTGTAACAGGACCATGTATTTGCATGAACAGATGTGGGAATGAGACTTCAGGGACTTCATGATTGACTTCCATATCCCACTGGAACAATATCTGCATGCACACTTGTTTTTTATGGAAGAATGGTGGAATTATAAAGTACAGGTCAGCAATAACAAATCAAGCCAATTTCATAGTCAACTGAAATGACAACAAATCAACCTGACTTTTGACCAAGAAAGGGTACAAAAGCTACCTGGAGAAACTTGTCAATCTGTCCCTCAAAAACAGAGAAACAGAGGTAAAAGACATTTCAGAAGAAATCAGTCAATCTCTCTCCAGAAATGTAATAGTGATCTGTGGACTTTACCTATCAAAATTAACAGAATTTACCATTTGATGTATTATGTACAGCTTTTCTTCTTATTGTCTCCCTTGTGTGCTTAATAACTTCATTTAATTAGAACGTCACAGATTGTTCTGACAAATTGAACATACTGTGTTTTGACAACAAAATATTTTTCACACTTTAGCATGTGGAAACCGGCTATACTATAACTCTTATTTGAGGCAATAGGCTGAAAATACAGCATTAGCTGAATTATGGATATTGGAAAATAGGCATGTTACAGCAACAGGAAGTTTAATTCTTGTGACAGACCTTTAATTTGATAACAATGAAATGCAAACAACCTTGAAATTACTGTTTTCCCTTTCTATTTAGAGTACTTCATGTAACACTAAATTTTCCATTCCTTGGGTAATATTATGACTATTTATAGTATCACATTTATATTTTATTTTTATTAGACGTGCATCTTGTAAGTTTTAAAGAAATCAATTCTTAACACTGATAAATTCTGTTTTTAAAATTTATGCTCTCTGTCTGAAGAATTTGTGTTCCACGAATTTTGAAATGTGTGGCACACCCCAAAAGTCCAACCTGCTGTTTTTTTGATCAAAAAAATTTTTAACACAAAAAGACACTTTTTAATATAGAAATTTAAAGTTTTAAAAACCCAAGAGTTCTGATGGCCTTTTTTGATTTTCATAATGCTAACATAGAAGACCAAGCACAATAAATATCAAAGGCACAATAAATATCAAAGGCACTTCTTTTTTAACGTATGGACTGTCAGCAAACAAAAATACCGAACAGTCTAAGGCTTCAACCTATGAGAGGTTCTCAACTACCCACAATCATGATAGAGCTTAAAAGCCAGCAAAAAAATCAGGGCCTGTCCGGAACAATTGATTTCTTTTTTTCTCTCCTCAGGATTTCAAACTTAAAAATTTTATTTCTCTACTTGGTGCCTTTTGTTTAAATTATCGAGTCCCCGTTCTCTGAAATATCCAGAGATCTGAGAAATCATTCCAAGTTAGATTGAAAGTCAAATTAAGTTTAGTATTGTACACCTAGGCTTTTACCCCATATTAAGATACGCATAAATGAATTACATCCTGAACCCCATTTCACCTGTTATATACATTAAAAGACAACAGCACTTTAGGCGTGTATTTGATATTTTTTACCTCCAAAGAAATATTTTTCTCCCGTCTTGACTTGCAGAGGGCTGTTGGTTCGAACAGCTGAAGCTTCATCACCATCAATGGTGAGGACAGCAAAGTTTTCCTTAGCCAGGAACCGAACTTCATGCCACTGCCCATCATTGAGACCAGAGCCTGTGAAGAACAAAAAAACATTGCAACATTTTACTTACTCCAATATTAACTATCTCTAAGTGTTCTGTGTGTCTCTTTCACATGCTCATTATATAAGGTTTCATAAAGGTTACTGCAGAAATGAAATCATTTTAGTAGGATAATGAGGTATTGTTATTAAAGTGACAATTACAAAGAAATTCATATTATATCACAAATACAAGTCTTGGAACTACTGAAGTTCTACTGAACTACTTGGAACTACTGTCCAGGCTCACAGGCATAACAGTATCCAACTACAGATGTTATCACTCACCTTTCCTATCAAAAGGCCATATTCTGCATTTTACTAATAAAGAATATGTCTTAATTGTTTCTATGATTAAGCTCAGAAGGAAAAGATATCGATTCATCCATTTAACTATAGTGAGTAAGAGTGCCAAAGGGCACATTATGCTCATGTTAGGCAGATATCATTATAGATATTGCCAAGAAAAGGGAAAGTAAAAATAGGAGGGGAAAAGGCTCATGTAGGCGGTGAATTCACAGCTAATTGGGATGTAGGGCTACTCAGAGGAAGACAGAGGAAGACATTATCACAGAGGAACTTCAAAACCGGGAAATGTCTCAAAACCTCACAATCTTATGGGAGCCCTGTCCTCCAAATACTGGCAGCAGTGAAGCAGATGAAATTGTTCATTCACTCAAATCTTTTAAAACCCACAGAATTTATATATTTCTCATATTGTCTCCAGCAGCTGGCAGAAAGCCAGTTTGCTTGGCACATTAAGAACTGCCAAAGGGTGCTGGTTTGTTCTAATAATTTAACTCCTAACCTGCAGACAGGTTATGCTGGGTCAGCAAGTGAGCAGCAAATGCTGGAGTAAAAGCAAACTGCAAGTTTTGGCAACTCTGACAAGCAATATTTTCTCCACCTAGATGAAGTCACCTTAGCAAAATGTCATTTGCCAAAATAAAGCACAATGCAATGTAATAAGCTGTTTCTAAAATTAAGTGGAAAACAAAATGTCAGCAGAGGTATATAAGGCAACATAACTTCTCAAAATATCCAAAAGAATGTCACCTTCTTCGAACAAACAACAGTCACAGCAAAGAGATATACCTAAACATCGGATGAATATTTTTTCCCCTAGTGTTTTCACATCTTTGTTTACAATATGAAATCAAGTTGTGAAATAAAATAGGGGGCTCTTCTCATAATATTCTCAGAAAATTTATTAGTATGAATAAAAGTGGCAGAAGCCTCTTGAAAATGTATCAGTAAGAAATGTTACTACTGAAGCTTGTAAGCTTATTCAATCTAAAGTAAGAACAGAAGAAAGACCTAATATACCAAATATGAGGGAACTTTTCCTTGTTTGTAAGCTCTTTCCCTATTTTCATTACTGCTGAAAAAGAAGAAACTGAAAAACATATAACATAGATAAAATTATTCTTTACTGATAATAAACGAAGAAAGAAAAATACACAATTATTTATGGACTTCAAAACCAAATTTGTTACAGCATGTGCTACTATAACTGAAGCTTATCAGAACATACTTAAAACCCAATTTTCCAGCCTGAGATGACCTAATATTAAAAAAAAAAATTCTATTTTATATTTTTATCTCGGTATTCAGTATTACCTTGAACTGAATAACAACGACTAGGGACTGCTGGAAAAAAATTAAGAGGGGCACAAAAGCAGTGGCAAGAGCTGTTCATCACAAAGGGAGGTTTATCTAAAACACTCTCTGGAAAGGGGGACATTGCAGGAACCAAGTGGTATATGAGAACAAGAAAGTGCGCAGCTGAGCAGAGCCAAGCCTCAGCCCCAGGCAGGGGGAGGTGAGGGAAAACAGGACAGAAATGTCCCTGCCAGCTCCAAGGGTGAGGGGGAGCAGGGAAGAGAGGGGCTCTGGCCACCAGAGCAGAGCAACAGCTCAGGAGAGCAGGAGCAGCAGAGTCCTGGTCTTACCCCTGCATCCCCTCCTGTGCTGCTCAGGAACAAGACGTGGAAGAGTTCTGACTGAGGAAGTTGAGCTTCAAGAAGAAGGAGGAAGAAAGGTGTTGTTTTAATGATTGCCCTTGTTTCTCACTACCCAGATCTATTTTAATTGGCAATGAATTAAATTTATTTTCACAAGCTGAGTCTGTTTTGCTTGCGACTGTAATTGGTATATGATCTCTCTGTCTTTATCTCAGTCCATGAACTTCTCAGTCCTTGCCCTGTTGAGGAGTGGGAGTGAGAGAACCCACCACGACAACTGATGGAGCTAGAGACAGATGACTGTGCTATGAAATTGGAAATTCACTGTATTTCGTATAATAAGGCTAAGCTCACCATCCTCACCTCTTGATGATACTCCTCCATAAAAGAACGAAATGAAAGTACTAATAAGAAAAGTTTTTTAAGTTAAATATGGCATGAGATGCAAAATACTTCAGTTATTTTAATCTGTAGTTTTGTATTTTGTGTTTGTACTGTGCAGTCCCCATGTGCAGTGAAGGGAATACCCCCCAAGCTCACCAGCAGCATGCTGAGAAACTGAACACTCCAATGACTCAAGGCAAAAAGCAGGTGGAGGGAAGGTGGATGAGCAGAGCAGTTGGTTCTCCTGAGCAAATCAGGAAATGAGAGCATGAGGAGAGCTGCGGGTTACGAGCAAAAGTGATTTCATGCATTCTCTCTGTGTGCACAGCATTTAGCAAGACTTAGCAAGGGGACACACTGCTGTCTGTAAGCTGCTTGCTAGAGGCATGTTTGGAGGAGCACTGTTGTTTTGAGGTATTAAAAATACCTGCCCCTACCAGTTAGCATCATTCCTGTCAGTCCCTGAAAGATGACACTGTTTCTGCTTTATGAACTCTTCAGTGTATTGATACAAAATAATCATTAATTAAGGCTGTCTACTTAGCTAAAGGTATTACCCATCCTCATGGAGCTTTGCAGTATGACAGTAATATTCCCAACTGTTCTGGCTCAAAGTTGTCTCAAAAATTCTTGTACAATTTTATGTTTGCTTAGAAAACTTACTGGTACATTTTTTTCCTGCAGAGTTTACCGATGAGTGCTAAGGAGGATTGCTCATTAATACTCAGCAAATACTGTTTTCTTTACAGAATTTTGCTCCCCAGTCAAAACACTAAAAGCATCTTTTATCTCTGCCATTGTTTCTATCTGATTTTTATTTATGTGTATTAGCAGCAGTAGTGTTAACCCTCCTTTATAAATGGCACGATGATTTGTGTCAGGAACTTTAATTATTATTGGGATATATGATGTACTCTATATACATATATATATATATATATATATATATATATATATATATATATATATAATAGGGGATACATTTGCATAGCTGCATGACCTGTTTCTATTGTAATATTTTATTACAAGCCTTATGTATATAAGGATTATTTTTGCTTCCTGAGATCCTTCTGTAAACTGAGACTCATTCATAAGAGTAGATCACGTCTCCTTACAATAAAAGAATTTTTAGCTGGAAAGTTTAGGATGACCTACATCCCAAATGCACAATGATGGCTTCTCATTGCAGTTTAATTTCCTCATCTGAGCTGATACATATATTTATTTGCATTCCTTTTCTTCTTAGTCTTTTTTTAGTATGCAAGTTGAGAGGAAAAAAAAAAAGAAATGCATATTGCTGTCACCACAAATTCCCTACTGAGTTCTGGAAAAGATGGTTTCATATGCAGATTAAATATCTTAATGAAATGCATTCTCTCTATGTAGGTTTTCTATTTAAATGACATTATTTAAAAAGTAGGACTCTTGAGTTAGGCACTTTGATTGAACAAGAAGAAACAGATGTTTTGCTTATTACAGACATGGAGGAAGAACTAGATTAACGAATTCTAAAAAAGTACAAGGGTTTAATACATAATGGGGAATTCAGAAAGATAACATCTGGTTGAGTTTTGCCTCAGGGAAAACTATAGCAGCAAAAGTCTCAAATTCTTCTGTGGATAGCCTTGTGTGATCAAATCTTCTTTTCAAAGGTACTGACCCATGCAGTGACTACCAATGAGTGCTAGCTTATACAATCTGCTGATGTACCTGGACAAAATTCTTCTGAAGTTAACACCAGAACATCTGCCACATCAGAACAGAATATTGTATTAATTTTGTTGTAGGACTGTAACTCAAAATTCAGTTTAAATGTAAAGAAGAAAACAAGGCAAGAATATTATCATTATCTCCATGAAGCACTGGAGCAATGCAAGGCTATGCAGCTTCACATGGGTTGTTAGTTCCCACTGCTGTAGTAAATACCCTGTATTGTAATTTCTTGCATATTCTACTAGGAGATGAAGCCCTCAATACTCAGCCTGAAGGCAGAGGGAAAGGTTTGTTATGGTTTTCACTTTAGCCAGACAGCACCACATTTCAGCATGCTCATAATTGTTATTCCTGGCCAATCCCTCACCAACTCAATAAATCTTTGCATTAGTATTTCTGACTATAAGAAAAAAAGCCAACAATGTTTGGTTTGAAACATTCAGCTGTGTTCAAATATACAGCAGTATATGCCATGAATATTCAACCAGAAAAAGATAAAATATAATCACCAGATGTAATTACATGATCTGTGCTTTTTTTGTATTTAGTTAATTGTAATTTTAAATTGGAAAAGCAAAATCACAGCTCCTCCAAAATAATATTTTAGATAGTTTCTTCAAAGAGCTATCTAAATATATAATCTGCTTTAGGACATTTAATTCAGAAAATATGTTTTTATTTTGATTTTTATTCATTTTTTGGCTATCCCGATGAGCAGTAATATAAGCTAGAGTAAAATGCAGTCCTTGAAGGTATTTTGATGATAGAAAACCTTGTTCTCCAAACAGAAAAAAAAAAGCTATTTTAAATTTTGTCCTCATGTTTAAGCTCAGAGTTCTTTTTTAAGGTGAGTAGTTGGAAAAATGTTCCAATTTTGCCTGTTGGTGATATCTAATTTATATCGGTTTTGCTCTGAAAGTTAAACATAACAT